AGAATTTCAACCCGCATAAACCTTCTGGGACACTGAGAATCGAGGCTCTGGGAGTGGGTTCCAAGGGACTAGGTGTTCTCAGTGCTTTTAAGGGGCTTATTTTCTTTCGTCCCCACACTCTTGTTTTCAGAAAATGTGGAGAAGACTGGAGGACAGCTGCTGTCCCAGCTCCCAGGGCCACCAAGGGGAGGCTGGAGAGAGCAGAGAGGAGCCTACAGCCCCTGCCGAGGATTGGCCAGTGTAGATGGGCTAGCCCATCCTTCACCTCGGGGGTGAGGAGTGAGGACCTAATTCATCAGTGTTAAGTCAAGAACAGGCAAACTGTTTCTTAAAGGGCTTGGGTCTCTGGTCCTTGTCCCAGCTACTCAATTCCGCTATGCAGGGTGAAAGCAACCATGGGCAACATGTAAAGGAATGAGCATGGCTGTGTCCCAAACTTTGTGGACTTTAAATTTTAAGTTCATGTGTCACGATTTGTGTATGTGTGTCCTGCAGGCTGTGGGTTGCTGACCCCAGTTTAAGTGACTGAGAGGTCAAAAAGCCAGTTAGTGGGGATGTTTCACTTATTGAGGGGTCAGTAGGAGTCACTGTTGACTCAGTGTTTATCACTGTCATCTTTGAGAGTTCAAAGGTGGTCAGCAGTGATCACTGAGGATGGACATTGATAGTGAATTCATTGGAGGCCAGTGAGAGTTCCTTGGATGTTCATGGAGACTGTCAGTAGATGTCAGTGGCAGTCACTGGGAGGTCAGTGAGAGACTGAAAGTAACTGAGGAGCCATGGGACTTGGAATGTTAGTTTACTAAATAACTGAGGGGTCAAAAGAGTCAGGGAAGGTCATTGAGGGCCACTAACCAGGGCTCAATAGTGAATGTCAGTGGAATCACTGAGATTTCTTGGATGGTCATGGGTTCTTGGAGACTCAGGGTGGCAGGATACAGAAGTATCAGTGAACTTTGAGAAAATATGGAGGCCCACTGGAGGAGTCACAGAGACTCTTGCGTCCCTGAGTAATCATGGATACTAATGGCAGTCATTTGGGTATAGTGGATACCAGAGCAAAGGGGGAACAGCCACTGTGGGATCAAGAAAGGGCTTTATGGACCCTGCTGGTAGTGAATGTCATTGGATGTCAATGATCACTGGAAACCAGTGCTACCTGGGGAGCAGAGGCAACATTGAGGGTCAGTGAGCCATCCATATCACCTATGGTGATGACTGGGAGGCAGGGCAGCTAACCCAGCAACTGGGTTCTGCCACTCTGGGATCTTCTGTTCCACTAGGGGCTGAGGGTCTATTTGTCTGACAGGGTGGGGTGTATATGTCTATCTGTCCCCCTGGCTTAGGAGACATCTGTCTATCCTGAGGACCTACCTGCCTTTCTCATAGGCTGGGTCCTACTGGCAGAGTAAGTCTGTCAAGCTGAAGGTCTGGCTGGCTAGTTGACTGGGTAGTGGACTGTCTCTCCATTGAGTTAACTGTCTCTCTGTACAATTGTGGGGCTCTGTCCTTGAGGAATTCTGTCTTTTGGTTGGCTGGAAGTGGGGTGGGAGGGGGGTCCAGGTGTCTGGACACAGGTCTTTCTGGATGCCTGGCTGAGCACCTTCCCACCTGTCCAATAATCTGTCCATTTGTCTGGCTGTCCTGCTGCAGTCTCTCTCTCCCTGGGACTCTATCTAGAAGTCTGTCTTGCCAGGGATCTATGTGTCTGTTTGCCTGCCTGTTTGGGAATCTTTCTGCCTATCTGGCCTGTGAACAGAGTGGCTGAGACTTTAGTCCACCTGCCATGCTTCCACCAGGGTTGGGTGTCTGTCTTTCTAGCTGCACGTCCACCTCCTACTACACACCCTCCTCTTGTTTAACCGGACCGCCATCCTGACACTGACCATCCCTCCATGTCTCTCCAACATCCAAATTCTCCTGGCTTGCCCTCTGCTCAGCTCAGGCTGGGTGTAGCGGATGGAAAGACCCCCAAGACCTCCACCAGCAGCCCTGGCTCACCCCTCTCCGTTGTCCCAGAGAACTGCAAGCTGTGTTCCTGCAGTGGGACTCACTGCTGCTGCTGGCCCTCTTGCGCACCCTACTGGCGGCAGTCCCAAGCAGTGGGAGCAGCTGGCACTGTCCTGAAGATCCTGAGCACCCCAGCGCCCACATGCCACTCTGCCACCTGCTTCCCAGCTCAGAGTGCTAGGCCACCCAACACAGCCAAGTGAACAGGGTGCTGGAAAGTACTCAGAGAAGCTTTTGCAATACTGTGAAGAACCCACCCTGCGCTGATGTTGCAAAGGGGAAATAGTAACTTTTTAAACAGTGGAGAAACCTGGCAGACACCACCCTCACCTAGAAGGCCTATGCGGGGATAGTCTGAGACTACTGACATCCCTATTGAACAGTTCTTCTGACTTCCTTTTTTGCTAGGCCACAAAAGGGAACAAAAAATTTGAAAAAATTCTCCCACTGCTCCACTCTGTTACGAACTTTTGGATTGGGTGTGGGCTGACCTGTTGGCCCACCTACAAGTCTGGCATTTGGCAAAAAAGGAAAAATGCCAGCCTCTCCAGTTACAAGTGGCAGCTTGCATCCACCAGTGATTGGAGGTAACTGCCTTTGGGAGGGCTTTTGTTCCAGACTCTGGAAACTCCACAAGACAAACCAATTTCCTAACTGAATAAATTACAAAGAAAATTAAAAAGAGAGAATTCTATAGGATAAAAGAGACTTAGAATTTATACACAGTTGCTCATAACAGCATTATCAAAACAGCCCAAAAAAAGTGAAAAACAAAATTTCATAAACTGATGGATAAATAAGGTATACACATGCAACAGAATACTGTTTAGCAATAAAAAAAGGAATAAAGTACCGACACATGCTACAACACGGATAAATTTTGAAAACAATGCTAAATAACAGCACATATCGTATGATTCCGTTCCGTTACCAAGTTGAAGCTCATACTGCTCGCCGCACGACAGGCCAATAATCGAGAGACGAGTTGTTGGGACAAGAAGACTTTATTTGCAAAGCCAGCAAACCGAGAAGATGGTGGGCTCGTGCCCCAAAGAAATATCTTGCCTGAGTTAGAATTCAGGCTCCTTTTATACTAAGAGGAGGAAGTAAAATCAAACACTTCCTGGTTCCCATCGGCCTCTGGAGAGGATGTGTTAATTTCTTCCTCCCTGCAGTCATTTACAGGTGGACCTGGTCAGGATGTTTCCTGTGAGTTAAACAAAGGTATTTCAGCTCATTACCTGGGAAGCGGGGTTCCCAGAGATGAGCCATTATGTATAACTCAAGCTTATAGGCAACATCCCTTTAGTGATTAGCTTGTAATAGAATACAAAAGGTTCTTCCCTATTACAGTTCCTATGGAATGTCCAGAATAGGCAAGTCTATAGAAACCAAAAGTAGATTACTGGCTACAAGGGGCTGGGAGTTGGGAGATGGTTGGAGAGGAACGGGAAGTGACAGCTAAAGAGCACGTTGTTTCTTTTAGGAGTGACAAAATGCTCTAAAGTTAGACTGTGGTGATGGTTGTACAACCCTGTGAATGTGATAAAAAAATAATTGTACACTTTAAACAGGTGAACTGTGTGGGACATGTGCATTATATCTCAATAAAGCTGTTTTAAAAGAGACTTGTCAATCATTTGCAATGAATGGACCTAAATTGGATCCTAGTTCAAACAAATATAACGTAATCAGGGAAAACTGAACATTAACATGTAGAATTCGGAATAACTGTTGATTTTTTAGGTGCAACAGTGGTATTGTTATTCCTGTTGAGTCTTATCTTTCAGAGATATATGGAAATGTTTATGGATGAAATGATATGGTGTCTGGGATTTGCTTCAAAATAAACGAATGGAGTGGATAAAGGGAGTAGGTGGGGCTGTGAAGGAAACCAGACTGGTCAACATTGAGATGAGCTCATGGACTCACTGTACAGTCCTCTCAGCTCTTATGTTTGGAATTTTCCACAATTAAAAGACTTAAAACAATCAATCAACATGGAGGTGAACAACTGTTTCTATAAAGAGCTAACAGGTCACAGAGAATACACATACACTAATAGCCATTGAGTATTTGAAGATGCATAACCTCTGTCATAATTAAAGAAATGCAAATTCAACTGAGGACCCATTTTGCACCTAGAGCTCGGGCAAGATGCAAAGTCTGACAGTTCACAGTGCCTACAAGGACACAGGAAACACTCAGATCTGATGATAGTGGCTGGGAGAGACAGCCTCCTGGAGGACAATTTTGCAGCATCTATAATCATTTTCAAGACACAATTCCACTTGCAGTAGTTTACTCATCAGATATACTTGCATAAATACGCACAGAGGTATGTTCAATGTTCTTGAAGCAATGTTTGTGGTAGTAAAAATAGGAAACAACTTGAGTGTGTGACCATCAAAGAGTGGTGAATCCACACATACCAGACATCCTAGATAACCTAGAAATATCCTCGGTAATCCAGGGAAAGCCTAAGGAGATCTTTAAAGGGAAAGATGGTCATTATAAAGCTTTCCACTGCTGGTGAGTCCAAGTGCACTGAGTTCTCTGAGGAACTTTAATTACACTCAAAGGAGGCCACAATGAAGTGAATAAATGGTTTGCCTCTTGTTTATTTTCTGTCTGTCTCTGGCTGAGAGCTGGCCCCAGCGCCAAGCCCTGCTCTAAGTGAGACTTCTGCGCTCACATTATTATCCCCACTCCCAGATGACGAAGTCACAGGCCCCTGACAGAGAGCAGCACCAAATCTCCCAGGGTAGCACCAAACCCTCTGTGGCCCAGGGGCAAGCCAGCACATCAGGCCTGCCTTGTCCTAGACATGATGTCAGCACCAGGCCTGAGAATGTCCCAGAGCTATCAGGTCCCCAGCTGAGGGGACCCCACATCCTTCACGCTCAGCCTGACAGCCCTGTCCTGGCCACTCAGAGGCTAGCAGGGTGCTGTGGCAAGCAGACTTTATTCTGACCTCTCCCCAGCTCCCGGGTCCAGGTCCACATCCTGACTGGTGAGTGGGCTCACTCAGCACTCAGGAAGACCCTCTTGTGCGCGGTGTTGGTGTAGGGGTGCCAGCGCCACTCCACGTCTGCTGTGGCCTCCTGCTCCAGCGTGCCCAGACGGATCATGTACACTGGCGAAGGGGGATGAGATATGGTCACTTACACAGCCAGCACGCCCCCCACCAGATACGGGATAAAGCCCCAAACTCACACTTCAGCTCAAAGCGAGGCCCAACCTCAGTCAGCTCCACATTGCGGTGGTCGGTCTTCTTGTACACATGGTGCCTGGGGCAAGGGGGGCAGGGCAGGAGTGCAGAGAGGCAGGGAGCAGCTTCAGGGTCAACAACAAACAGCACAGGGACACAAAGGTCAGGACCCCATTCGGGCCCAGCCCACTGACCCACCGGAAGGAGATGTAGTCGTCCTGGTTGGCGAAGGTGATGACCCGGCGGCTATCATCTTTGGGCACAGGGAACAGGTAGCGGAGTATGTCAGAGACCTGGGGCAGAAGGAAGAAAAGTGGCAAATGCCCAGCCTGGCACTCCAGGCCCCCAGCCCTCACCCCACGGCCTCAGACTCACCCGCTTACCCAGGCGGGAGGAGAAGCCATGCATGATCAGGTGAGGCTTGGCCTCCGACGCGGTGCCCAGGTTGGGGATGTCATGCCGCATGACCACGTTGCACAGTGTGAAGTACGCGGTTGGGCCAAAGGGCAGGTGGCTGACAATGAGCCCCACTGGCAGGGCCAGGTAAGCCGTCAGAGACCCTCTGCTCCCAGCCAGCCATCATGGCAGCACCCTGTTCCCTCCCTTCAGTCTTACCAGGTGTGCCTCGATGCTCGTGGACAACCAGCAGGTCAGTGACCCCGTTGGCTTTGCAGGCTCGCACAAGCGCCCCAACCTCATGCCGGCCACGGTTCATGCGCTGGGCGCCTGGGAACACCAACTTTAGCTCCTGCATATGAACTCCCTCTGGTTAGGACTGGGGCTCCTGGGGCCTGAGCATCTCCCACTAACTCCCACCTACTGGTACCTTTGCAAACATCTTGAGGCGGGAACTGGGATCTCGGGAAGTAGTGATCATGACCTTGGGATCCTCAACCCCTGCCCATCGATACTCATCATCCATGTGGCTGGTCACACCTGTTAGGAGTGTGAGGCGCAAGAACATGACGTTGTCTAGAGAAGTGAAATGCTAACTTGGGGTGGCCAAATCCACCTAGAACAGCACTGATGATACCTTCAAGGATGGAAAGGCTCTCTACCTGCTCTGGGCCAACAGGGTGGCCCCCAGCCACACTGGCTACAAACACAAGTGTGACCAAGGAACTGAATCTTTGTATTTGATTTAATTTTAGTTCATTGAAGTTGTAGTAATCACATGGAGCTAGTAGCTACCACGTTAGCACAAGTCCAGATTCAGTTAAGGCCAAAGGTATCAGGCTCCATTCCCTCATAACAAATATTTATAATGTTTGTGATTCCTTTCATATTTGTTGAATAATGCAGTGAATGAGACACCTGAGTGCCAATGAAGTGCTGATAGCTGAGGACACAGCAGTGAACAAAATGGACACTGTTCTGCCCCAGCAGAGCCCACCGTCCTAGTAAGGGGGACAACCAACAGACAAAGCAAAGCAGAAAGTGGGGTAACACTGTGTCGTGTAAATGGAATTGGGAGCACTCAGGGAGAGGTCCCCTGAGGTGTCATCTGTCCAGAGCCACGAGGGCACCTGGGGGACAGTTTCAGGAGTGGGAGCTGCACAACCTTTCTTCAAGGTGTCTGAGGAATGACATGGAAGCCAGTGGGCTCAATGGCAGGGAGTGAGGCTGGCTCACAGGGTCAGGGAAGGTCACCTTCACCGCCGGCATCGTCAAACTCCAGGGAACACTGTAAGGCCAGAGCCTCCCTGCGTAACTCGGTGGGAATCAGGCGGTTCTCTGCAGAGGGAAGACAGAGGGGCTAGTGAGACACATGCATGGAGCCTTCAGTTTATACAACACTAAACAAACTTGATGGAAAAATACCCCTTTTACTCCTTTCTGAGCAGAGAGGTGATACTTAACTGGGGGAGAGGGATGAAACTATTTTTGGCTACATGCCAACCTGCTAACAGTGGTTATAGGAGATTTCATTTACTATGGTTCCTGAGTCTCAAGACTTGAAGGGTTTCTAAAATACTTAATCACAAGTATGCACTCCCTTTGTAGTTAGAAAAAAACTAACAATTAATTTTTAAAGAATAAATGGAAACTGCTCTTTCTATACAAAGGTGGACCAGAAACCCTGAAACCCTCTGACAATAAAATCATTAATCGTGATGCTCTGGGTCAGAGGTTTCCTCTGTGAACTAATGCAAGACTTGGCAGAGGGGCTAGGCTGTGGGCATGCCCACTTTGGAGCATGCCCTTGAACCCAGCAGGTCCCTCCAACATGCCCTGGACAAACTCTTGCACATGGAAGAGAATGTTCACAGCAGCAGGCCTGCCCCAAACTAAAAATAAGCTCAACACCACCCACAGGGAAATGGATAAAGACCCTGTGGAATATTAACCTGCAGGAGCCCCACCTACACTCAATGGATCTTAGAAACAACACTGAACCAAAACAGAAAGCTGCAAAAGAATACACGCAACCTAATACTACCTTTACAACTAAAAATCTACCATATGATTTAAGATTACAAACAAGCATGATAATCCTCAAAAAGAACAGCAAGGAAATGGTTCATTTTTTTTTTTTTTTTTTTTTGCGATATGTGGGCCTCTCACTGTCGTGGCCTTTCCCGTTGCCGGACGCGCAAGCTCAGCGGCCATGGCTCACAGGCCCAGCCGCTACGCGGCATGTGGGATCCTCCCAGACCGGGGCACGAACCCGTATCCCCTGCATCGGCAGGCGGACTCTCAACCACTGCGCCACCAGGGAGGCCCCGGAAATGGTTCATTTTTAATCAATATTCAATACTGTGTTTATCTAAGCTGGGTGAACTATTTCTGAATTTAAATATATTGATCATTTTTCATTTCTTAGCATGGGCAGATAGGTCACAGGTGTTTAATTTTATGCTTGGCATAAGTACTACATACACATACCTTATATACTTTAAGTATCTAAAACCTAAGAAAATCAAAGTGAATCTAAAATAGATATGGAGTTGATGTACTATCAGGTAGGAAACAGAGCTCCACCAACATGAGAACCAACAAAATACGGATAAATACGGCATTTCCAATCAGGCATGTGTGACAGGCTCTTCATTAGTACGGCAAATGGAAAGCGGGGAAAATATTGCAAAGTTAAATTCCTAATTTACAACGCAAATAAAATTCAGTTCTACACGAGTGAACAGTTTTAAAATACAAGGGACTCATAACAGCACTAAAAGACAATAAGATATTCTTGTTACCTTGTAGTGAAAAAAAGTAGAAAGAATAAAAACGACAGAGGGGAAATAAATATAGTACCACGTGAAACGTTTAAATTTGGGAAGACCTGGACACTGTAAATAAAATGACTACGCAAGTTGTAAAATCTGGATACTGCAGCATAAATGACAAGTAATTCACACCATCATGCAAGCGACATTTGCAACCCATCAGGAAGATCCAACGGGAAAGGAAAATGACCAGTAAATACTTGAAAAGATACTCACCATACTAACACGAGTAAATGCTAATTAAAAGCGTTTGACACCACTGGCCTTTTTCTCGTTGGGTTTTAACAGGAAAGCCCAAGAGTCTTTACCGTGACTGGGGGGCGGGGACAGACGTACCCTCGAGCGCACGCCGAACCTTGTCCTTCCTCTCCTGGGCCGTTCGCCGAGCCTCCTCACAGGCCTTGCGATACAGGTACTCGCGGCGAAGGCGGGCTTCGCGGCGCAGCTGGAAAACAGCAGATCCGCTCAGACAAACCTTTTTCGCCGCGCAAGACCGGGCCCGGGAAACACCCGCCCCGAGCCCACGGGCCACATCCCCAGCCTCTGCGAGCCCCCGACCTCCAAAACAGGAGCTTAAACATCACTCCTACCATCCTGGGCGCAACTTCCACGTGAGTCCAGTTCTCTTCTGGCGCCGCCGGCACCACGCAGTCGTCGCTTCCGCCCTCAACCGAGAAGGCCGCTATAGGCCTCACTAGGTTCTGCTGCTGCCGAGAATGCCCAAAGTTAAAATGGCTGGGAGTCGCAAGGCGATTGGCCAGCCCGA